CCCTTAGTTATCGCTATCCATATTTGACTCATGGGAGCTGCTTTGTATTAGATACGGGAACGGTTTTTTCCTATTCGACATTGCAGTGTACGTCTATCTGTATCCATGCATATTGGGTATTTATACATTTATTTTTCTATTTGTCCTCCACAATGTGCCTTGTAATGTACGACATCTTTTGTTGGACATGTACATAGGAGTCTATATATTTCTTGTTATCTGTTGCAATCTTTTAAATAATGAATTAAAAAAAAAACAACACCATACATCAAGGTTTATTCATTATAAAATCACAATTACCTTAGCAACTAATAATTTATATAATTACATTGTAATTCTGCAGTAATTAAACAGTATGTATCCTGCATATTATCAATAAGGCAGTGCTTATTTCTGTTCTATACTCTCATATATGGAAGAGAATCAATATTCACTTATAATAAGATTGGATAAAAGCCCTTTCATCATTGATGATGAGTAGGTGTTTTCTGGTCAGCAGTCAATCCCCCGATGGTCCTTCCTGTAGACTGGATGAGGGAGGATGAGACTGACCTCCATACCTCCATCACAAGGAAGCAGATGAGATGGAGACCACTTGGCTTCTCTGGCACAACAGAAAGGACCTGCTTATAGAACTGTTGCTGACAAGAAGTTCCACTCTGCAGCACAGTGACAGCTCAGATGCTGGTGTCCCTCTTTCTCACTCTGCCAGTTGTACACACGTGCTCCACCAGTCCCTGGAGTCCTGTGCTCAATTTCCCTGGGGCCCTCAGTGACTTTCTCTCAGTTACCAGTCCACTGCTCTGCTTATGACCTGCTTGATTCATTCAGATAGCAAGCTAATGGAGACCATAACAGTTACCAGTAGCATTGCTAGCCATACGTTACAGATCTGTAGAAATATCAAGGTGTACTTACTTGGGAATAGAGAAAAAGAATGGGTATCAGTTTCTAGTAGACAGAAAGTGGTATGTGGGAGGTAAAGAGGGTAGATGAGGGAGAGGTGTCACTCCCTGGGGGTAGAGAATAAGGGATTGGATATGTCAGGATGGTGGTGAACAAGAGAAGGATAGCGTTTATGTTCTCAGGTCACAGGTCATTGCTTGTATGTAGGGATCAGTAGTTGTGAAGTATCGCCAAGGTCTCCGTGTCTCACTGAATTTTTCTTTGGTGTTTTGCAGGGTACATGTGAGGTCTTTCATGTGCAGGTGGGAATACCATAGAGATCTGGTTGGCGGATCTATCTGCTTCCAGAGGAGAGGAATGCAGGCCTTTGCTGAGTTTAATAGATGAACAGTGAGGCAAGCTTTGTACTTTGATACAGGTGGAGAAGGCAAGGTCAGGATTCTGACTTAACCTCCCTGGTGGTAATCCCGAGTGTAGCTCGGGGTAAAATTTCAGTACCAAGAGCGGTAACCCCGAGCTACACTCGGGCTTACCATGCGGCGTTGCTCAGGGAGTCCCTGCAGCGCTTACCTTGTCCTTCGCTCCCTCGATGTGTCCCCTGCAGCGTCCCCGGCCATCTCCTCCGGCCGATGCCAGCAGCCGGCTTTTGTGTTCCGGTCCCTGTGACGTCGGGACGTACGGGCGCCGGAACCGGCGGCAAATTTAAAATTTTTAAAAAATTTAATTTTTTTAAATATGATTATTACATAGTAAAACATTGCTGTTTCAATGCATTTCACATATATTTTGTCCCTACTGCACTGCATTTTGACTGTTCTTTCTGCCTGGAAACTTAGAAAAGTCCATGGCGTCCAAAAAGCATCCCTTTATGTCAAAAGTGTTTTAGACCGGCTAGAGAACAGCGATAGTAAATTAGAACCACTTGCAGAATTGAGTGATAATGATTCGTGGGGAAATTCGTCATCAGACACTGAAAACGATTTTGCGACTTTGCTCAGCGATGTGCGAATTTGCCTCTGTATTTCAAATTTCAGTGTTTTTGGTTTGATTATAATATTGAATTAAATTTATTATTATATTATTATTTTTTATGATTATTAATTAAATTATAATTTATGATTTTGTGTATCAAGTTTTATCATATCCGGAATGTTTACTAGACTATTGTTAGGACAGATTTCAGTGAGTTATTCCTAAAAATTACAGCCTACAATAAAAAACTACATATTTCCATGCAAAAAAATGGTACTGCTTTCAGCACCAAAAATCAAAAAGAATCATACCGCCGAGGAGGTTAAGTCTACTTATTTCAGTTGTCTGATTCTGTTTGCCATATCTTTACAAAATGGCAAAATGTTTCAAAAGTACCAGAATATGTGCAACATTGTGCCAGGATCACCGGCACAGTGCCAACAGGTGTCAGGGAAGTGGCACCTGTTTCTGTGTGAAACATAAGACACTTTGTGCCATCTAGATAAGGTAATTCCTGCACTACTTTGGTCTGACTTTCATGTGATTTGAGGGCCATGGACTGCAATATAACCCCTTCAAGGTCTCATGAAAGTAACACCTGAATGATATATATGCGACTTGTGTGCAACTTTGTACAGCACAAACAATTATCCTTGGTCAAAGCCAAAGTCTATCAGTAAATTGAAGTGCTGTGTCACAGCGGAGAATGCCTGCTCTATTGTAAAGACTGCTGCCAATGCAGAAGCATTTCTGAGTGCTGGCAGTGAAAGAGTTACCATCTGGCGCAGGAGTGACCTGCCTAGAAAACTTCTGTCCTGCAAGAGAAATAGCTGCCAGTGAGTGTGAATTTTCCCCTTCAGGAACTGAGGGTTAACAGAACAAGCAAGGGAGAGTTGCTATGAAGTGAAGTTTTTCCCTTTTTGTGGAGAGAAACACTGCAGTGTAACTGAAGAAATGTCAGCGTTGGGAGACACGTCTGTGGATTCAGAAGGGTTAACGTCCATGCCGGGACTGCAGGCCAAAGAAAAAGCATCTGCTGCTCTGTTTGCTGGACAGTGGACAGAGGAAAAGCTGTGTGCCAGGCGGGGATGCAAAGATTGGAGCATTTCCCTTTGGGCCACAGGGAGTTAGTACAGTAATGGCTCCATTGCTCTGAGGAAGAGGGCAAGTTCCCCGAAATGCGTCATCTGGACCTGTCATCCATTCTTCAGTTGGAGCTGGATAGCGGACATCTGTATAATGTGTCTTGTGTGTGTTCTACATGCTTTCAGCCTATCAGGCCTGTGAGTATCATCTTATTTGCTTCACCTAATAAAGTGCTAAAGATAATACACTAGGCGTTTGCTCCCTTTCTGTTCTGTTTTCTAGCACTGAATTTACCTCTTTTGAGGAGGGCTGCACCGTCTACCCTTCCAGTTTGGGTTGCATGACTCTAGCATAATTCTGCAGCATGGGATGGAGGCTTCCAGCGCCAAATTGTCAAGTTCTTTGTATATCTATGATATATGCATATTTAAATCAAAGCTGGTTACATTGGTCCAATGTAGAAATGTCCATACCTGAAATTCATCTTTATAGTGTTACTAAACCCATGACCCTGCATTCACTATATCTGGTCTGCCACAGTACACACAACATGGAAATACAATTATTTTAGTATATATAAACTACTAAATACCTATTCATCAGCAGTTAGAGCAGTCTTGTGACTCCTATCAGTGTCCAGCAGAGCCCTGGTTAAAGCTTGTAGGAGGCGTTTCAATCTCCCATGATTGTCCTATGAGGCTGCGGGACCCCTGACTCTCTGTCTGGACAGTGCTGATTGGCCCTGTGCTGATCACATGCACTCTTACAAGAAAAAAAAAAACACCTCTCTAGCAATACACACCAAACTGAGCATGTACAGCTTGCCCTCAAGGCTCTGTTCTATCAGAAGTTGAGTAGAAAAAGGGGAGGATCAAACAGCCTTTTTACACAATGCAGAGGATTAACCCCTTAGGTTCCACAGTGAGTATAACAAGCATGCTTTACTGCATATACAGACTGATTTTACTGTTGTGGGTTTAGTAACACTTTAATTTCCTTTGTTACCTTGTCACTTTGTTCAGTGTTAGGAGTTAAATAATATACCCATTATTGAAGGTAGGGAGGAGCATGTGACAGTGCTGTGCCAATCTGTGCTTTCACACTGGGATTCCATAGCCCTGTGTAGGCTACAACTCCAACAATTTCTAACTGTGGCTGCAGATTGTGAATAGTGGTGGTTCAATAAATATTTGTTTCATGTGGCACAAAATTTACTCTATAAAATATAGTTGAAATCAGATTCCCTGATCTATTATTTTGTAATTCTGGCACTAGCTTTATGTTGTCATCTTTTACATTTATAATAAAGTGATATAATAAAAAATATTAAAATATAAGAAATGTTACAAAAAGATGAAGTTTTAATATTCAGATAGGTACATTATCTATATCTGTGATCGTTAACTTGTGATCTGCCTGACTTTCTTCTTATCAGCTATCCTTATTGTTGGTGACGTTTATGTTTGGCCCAAGACAATTCCTCTTCTTCCAGTATGGCCCAGAAAGGTCAAAAGGTTGGACACCCCTGGCATAGGGTATAGTGTATAAGATAGAATGCATGAAGGACACATAGGTGCATATCTAGATTGAACATGCTGGATGTTTGGCGTGTCTATATTCTTGCCAAAATGCAAATAGAAGAACTTAGTATTCTGGCAGGGATTCATGAAGTTTCTTATTATTATGTAATGCTCAGTTGGACTTGTCATCTGTAGCTGGGATCCCATAAATGCTATACTGAAGAAAAAAAACTGTGGCTGCCTGGAATTTGCTTGAAGAAGTTGCTTTCTACACCCAAGTCCTGTTTCAACTATATAATTATATTTACTATTAATTTACAATAGCACAAATACAATTGAACACTTACAGATGTGTTGCTCTATAGGCCTACATTGTATACTGTACTTAAAACTGAAGTTTAATATGCCTTTGTTTTGCCTTCCTCTGCCCCCACATCAACATGCTAATCACATTATTAAATAAATCCTGGACTGTTAAGAAGCATAGGCATAAAGCCACATCCACATAAAGTGTTACTAAACCCACAACAGTAAAATCAGTCTGTATATGCAGTAAAGCATGCTTGTTATACTCACTGTGGAACCTAAGAGGTTAATCCTCTGTATTGTGTAAAAGGAAAGTTTGATCCTGTCTTCTCTGATCTTCCCCTCCTTCCATGTTCCCCATTTCATCTCCTGATAGAACACAGCCTCGGGGACACTCTGCACATGCTGAGTTTGGTGTGTACTGCTAGCGATTTTTCTTTTTCTTGGGAGGGTGCATGTGATCGGCACAGGGCCAATCAGCACTATCTAGACACAGAGGGTAAAGGGTTATGCAATCTCATAGGGCAGTGAGAGATGAATGAAAACTCCTCCTACAAGCTGTAACCAGTGCTCAGCTGGACACTGATAGAAGTCATAAGACTGCTATATACTGCAGTTGAGAAAAGGTAATAAGCAGTTTATATTTACTAACATAATTGCATCACAAGATTGCTATATACTGTACATGAGAAAAGGTATTAAGCAGGTTATATTTACTAAAATAATTGCATTTCCATGTTCTGTGTACTATGGGAGACCAGATAGAGTGAATGCAGGGTCCGGGGTTTAGTAACACTTTAACAAACAACATTGCGCCATCCTGACAAATAAAACACAGAAACTGTCATTAAATTGGAAGGGCAAGGCCGCAGCTTTATTTATCACTAATAATTACAACTTCAGCAAATGCTGCAATATGAAACATAAGATTCCAAATTCAACATGCCAGTCACAGCCAAGCTGTGAGCACCCAATACCAGCATAGCCTAGACGACTGTCCCAATCACCAGTTCAGGAAAGGCACTGTCTTCACATGAACTACTGAAGTTATTAACTAGATAACTGTAGATGGCAAGGTAACAATCCGTCAGTAGCCAATAAAGCTGTGATAAAATACAAAAGAGCTTAGTAAGGTTTTTTTTTTTTTTTTTAACTAGTATTATTAGGTAGGAAGGATGGGAGCTTCTTATGAGGGAGCAGAAGTCCAAAGAGGATGTTCTCCCACCCTCCAATGCTAATATATACCTTAGCATCAAGGGAGCCCACCCACCTAAAATCCTAATGGGAAACCCCGCACTAGAAGCTGCCATGCTTCTAGCCAGTCAGGGGGCCCTCTCCCTAGCGTGCGGGGGCTCATTCATTTGGTTTCCATTGCATACCTAATTTTATACCCAGTGGCATCTTCACTGAGCGGCTTTGCAATCTAAGTAGATAATGGCTGGTAGGAGAGACAGGCAGGATACTGTACAAGTTTTCCTAAAACATCACAGCCTGTTCCCTCAGTACTCCTCCTGGGAGGTTTCACCCTGATGCAGACAGTTTACTAAAAAGATAAACATAAATACTCCTGCGCATGGGAGTAAACTCGACAAAGACTACAACTTTGTCCTGGCTGTCCTGGATGGTGCACGCCTTCCTGCCCTCAAAGGACTGAGGAAGTCCAAAAACACTGGATACAAAACAGAGGGCACGCCGGCCTAGTACATTACTTTAAAATGCATTTTTATTGATGTAAAGATGATAAGTGATATACTCACAAAAAACGAGTAGGTCAAGAGATCATCACGAAAAGAACAGCACTGTCCAGTCCATACAGCATAGTTTTTCACAATGGGAGCCGTGGACCTCCAACAGTCTAACGCGTTTCCAGGACTTGCCTCTTCCTCGGAGCCTTAGTGCTGGCTCTGAGGAAGAGGCAAGTCCTCGAAACGTGTTCTCTATATGGACTGCAGAGTGCTGTTCTTTTTATGATGATCTCTTGACCTACCCGTTTTTTTGTGAGTATATCACTTATTATCTTTACATCAATAAAAATGTGTAATGTGTTAAGGTAATGCACTAGGCTGGTGCACCCTATGTTTGTTTTCTTTGCAGACAGTTTACTGTTTCTTGGGAGGAGTTATGCTAATATAAAGATGCAGACTGTATTTGCATGGAGACTGTCCTAGGCAGGGATTTTTTTTAGCGGGAACATGGGGGAACGCAGTTCCAGCACCTCCACCATGGAATGTATGTAATGACAAGGGATGCTGGTGGGTCTATTTATGCTGGCTGCTGGGGGATCTAGGCTGCTGGAGGAGATCTATTTTGCAGGGGTGTGGGGGGTCTATTGTTGCCAGAGAGGTCTATTGTTGCTGGTGGGGGATATATTTTTGCTGGGGGGTCTTATGTTGCTGGGGATCAATTGCTGCTGGGAGGGATCTACTGTTGAAGGAGGGGTCTATTGCTGCAGGCTGTTGTGAGTCTATTATTGCTAGGGTGGAGCTATTGTTACTAGGGGGTCCATTTGTTGCTAGGGGAGCCTATTGTTGCTGGCTGCTGAGCAATATGTTCTTGCTGGAGAGAATCTATGTTGATGGAGGGGGCAGGTTATTGTTGCTGTGGGTCTATTGTTGGTAGCTATAGGGGATCTATTTTATCGTCTTTCTTGTTATATTTAACAAATTCCATAAAAATTATTAATTAGCACCACAAACTGATACTTGGTTCTGTGTTCTCTAAAAGGGTGGTACTAGGAGGTGGTTAGGGGGTGGAACTAAGGAACGTTGCTTCAAGGTAGACAGGGGACAGAGACAAGGGGTAGAGTTCCTGCATCTATTCTCTGAGAAAAAAAGCCCTGGTCCTAGGTGATGCCTACAGGTGATGTTGAGCCTCAGTGCTTGAAAGAACTGAAATACAATGGATAAAAGAGTTGGGCCAGGGACAGTCAGGCTGAGGAGGAAAGAGCTAGGTGATGCTAGGTGGGGGGGTTCTGCCTGACTTGATGCAGCTTCTAATGCACACAGTGAAAAGCTCAAAGTGTGCAGTGAAATCAGACTAAGCTCAACATGAAGTTAACCTCGGGGCGGAGCCTGACGATGGCGGCGGCGGAGAGCTCGAGCTAGGAGCTCTCGCACGAGCCCTCTCTGACCGACCCCCCCTATTTTCAGTCTTAATTCCCCCCAGCGGTATGGAGCCCTAGATGGCAGAGATATACCTCGGCCTGGTGGGCTTTCTTTGATGGGCAGCGGTGCGCGGTTGGAGCCGGAGAGCAGTGGAGAGAGACTGGGACGCTGAGCCTGGTTGCCGGGAGACGAGGAGGCGCGGCCGGGGCACGTGACCAGCCGCGGTGCATCCCTGGGAAGCAGGGACGCCGGCCGGCCGAAGGCGGACAGGGGGAAGGAGAGTCGTGTGAAATTGGAAGCCGGCTGCCTCCCCGATGTGACAGGGAGACGCTCACTGCTGCCTATACCCCCCTACCTAGCTGGCTGTCCGCACCTGGGCCTGGTGGAGCCAGGAAAACCAGGAAACCCATCCTGCCTCCTTGGGACGAACCCTAAGGAGGAAAAGAAGAAGAGAGAAAAAGGAAAAAAAAGAAGAGGGAAAGAAAAACAACACAACATCGGAAACCCTGAGAAATCCCCCCCCCCCCAGGACTGAGCAGCAGTGATGGCCCTCCGTACAAGCATGGAGCTACCGTCTTGAGAAGGGAAGGGTGAGTGAGAACTACTGGGGACTTACTGTGTTGCTGTGTTGTGGACCCCAGAGTGACATAGAAGACCAGGTGGTGAAAGGGGAGGGGAGGATTTCCAGGGGTTAGAAGAGAAGAAGAGAGGAGGCCCAGGTGTCCTAGGGTCCTAGGAAAATAAAACATAAAAAAAAAAATTGCAAGTTTGTCTGGTCCAGAAATTATAAAGGAGAGGTACAATCCCATCTTGAGGATATAGAAAAAAAAAAAAAAAAAATTTAATAACAGAAATTTCACAGAGGATATGAAGAATAAGGGTCCCAAGGCAGCAGGGCCCAAAGGGTCTCAAACAGGAACAATAAAGAAATTTACATCATATGGAAATATTACGCCAGAAAGGGCCCAGGGCACAAGCACAAAAGGGGAAATGGACATTAGTTCAGGTAATAGTCCGAGATTATCATTGGGCATGAATAGCAGCTGCAGCCAACAAATAGAGGATGGTTCGGGAAAAAGAGAACCAGATGGGGAACTACAAGCACCAAACAAGAAGGAGATGATAGAAATGTTTCAGAACCTGGAAAAAATGATAAAACATGAAATGACAGCTATTCGTAATGACCTAGGGCACCTGCTATCAAGAATAGAAGAAACAGAGGAGAAAGTTAAAATTCAGGCCCAAAACTTTGATAACTTAAGGAAAAAAATAAACCAATTGGAAAACACTCAGAAAAAATTGACCTATAGGATGGAAGCCCAAGAAAATAAAGAAAGAAGGTGTAACCTTAGGGTACGAGGAATTCCAGAGACTGCAAAAGGCGAAACACTATATGAACTAGTGAAAAAAAATTTTAAACTCCATAAGAGATAGACCTGAAACAGACGGGATCAAGTTAGACGGAGTGTTTAGAATAGGAAAGCTCAAACAGGCTACTGAGAAGGAAAGACCGAGAGACATAATTGTACAGTTCCAAAAATTTGGGGTCAAAGATGAGATTTGGAAGAAGACCAAGGGAAGATCATTAATTAAGTATGGAGATTTGACTATCCAAATTTATGCAGACTTAACAGCAGAGACCCTATGGAGAAGGAGATCCCTGAGACCCCTGTTGGAGCAAATGAGGAAACAGAATGTGCAGTATAGATGGGGTATCTCAGCATCTCTGATTGGCTGGAAAAACGGGGTCACAGCCTACTTGAGATTTCCGGAGGAACTAAGGGACTTTTGCGAGAGACTGGATTTGCAAAGAATGGAGATGGCGGGGGGGGAAGAAGAAGAAGAAGAAGATAAAGGAGATACAGATGTTACTAGGAAAGAGGACTGGCAGCGGGTCGGGGGGGAGGGGGAGGGAGATTTTGGGGTCGGGGAGGGAAGGGAGGGAGAATTAAGTAGAAATTAAATTATGTTTTTTTTTTGTTTTTTTTTTTTTTTTTTTTTTTTCTCTCTCCTGCTTCCATCTCTCGCCCCTGGTCTCTCCCCTCCGGATGTTGAGGTCCTTCAGAACACTCTGGTGAAGGGAGGGAAGTTAAGATTCTTCTTGAGCCTGGACGTTAGAGAGAAGAGATCTGGGGGGGTCGGAGGAGAGGAGAGCCGTCCATGGGCGGAGCTTACGCCCTAAGTTTTAAATCAAAGGTGGAAATAGATCCACAAATGATTTGCAGGCAGTTTATAAGCCTAAAAACGGGTAGGGGAAAAAGAAGAGAGGGGGGGAGGGAGGGGGGGGGTGGGAGTGGGAGATGGGGGTTGGGGGGGAGGATGAGGGGGGAGGGGAGGTGGGGTTAAAATGTTGCACGATAGAAGGGCCTAATAGAAAGAGGTTTATTAGAAGAGAGATAGACAGATTTAAGAAGGATGGAAGAA